TTCAATAGCAATGTTACAAATAGAGTGAAAGTAACTTTTAATATTATATTTGTAACTGTTGTGTAGATTGGTTTTAGTGGACATTTTTATGGGGAGTTTCATTAGGTGAGGCTTAACCCCACATGTCTGATGTTCTGGAAGGATATGAAAACACCTCCTTTTCTGCCCCCATGACTTTAGATTCCCTTTGCTCTGAGGAAGACAACAGCAAAAATAGGGGAAGTACTGTAATATTTTATGCTGACTTCCATTTTGCATGAAAGAAAAATTCAGGAATGGAAGAGCAGAACTGTTGTAATTGAGATGTTCCCAGGTTTATCAGAAAGTTCTGCTTGCTGCATCTCACATGGTGAAGTGAACTGTGTGCTGGTTGCTGTTGGCCATGAGCTGCTGCTTCCAGCACTCCGTAAGGAATAAATGATGGAGTGACAGCACCATGCTGGGAATGCTGCTGCTGGGTGGAATTCTGCTTCCTTTCCTGCCACTCTGAGAAATGTTGAGGGCTCGGAGCAGATTTGTTTATAAAGAACTCCTTCTGAATTAAAAATTTGGAAGAAGTCTTAAGAGAATGGACTTTAACATCCTCCCCTGAGTACTAGTCAGAAATCATCCCAATTAAAGGTGTGTGAAGTTGTGGGGCACACACACTGTGATGCTTTGAGAGAAAATCTGTCATTTGCTGCATTTAGATTCCTAAGTTGCTGGTTTGATCCCTCATAAGGAAGAAATGGCCCTGTGCAATAGGACAAAAAATAGAATTTGTGTTTGTGCATCAAAACCTGAGAGCTCCTGCTTAAAAGTTTTAGAAGATGACTTCACCAAAGGAAGAATAGCTCAGTTCTTGGGACACCAGAATCCCTTTTGAGGCATAAAGTAGAAACACTTGGTGCTTCAAAAGGACCTGTGAGGTCATCACAAATGATGATAGAGTGGATTTGCTTTGCATCTCTTTGTTTCTCCCTGCAAGGTGAGGAATTCATAATTTAATGGGAAAGTAAAGTTCAGTGGCTTAATTCATCGTAACAACAGGGGAAAGAAACAAAAATAAAAAGTCAGAACCTCAATTGTAGAAAAGGATGGAATATAATCAAATAAATTGTCTGGTCTGTCACAGGGAGTTGAAATTCATCTCTGATTTTTTTTTTTTTCTGATGGCAAGGGTCCTGGGCCATCTTACTGAAACTGAGGCTTGAAGTAATAACAGAAGTTACCAGCAACCGTAGGCCTGAGAATGGAGAGAAAGGGCTGCACTTCCCTGAAAAAGAGGGCAGGAGGGTGATATGTTCTGTGGTACCTGAAGGCTGGGATAACTGAGAGAAGGCTGCTTGCAGGGAGGTGAAAGAATCTCTCTGCTTTCTGCACTCTGACCTTCCATTGTCCCTTGCAGAGCATTTGAAAGGATTGTGCAGTTCCCTTGATCTATTTAAGAGAAAGAAACTGTGTCAAATCTCTCCAATCCCAAGCCAGCTGTCTTTCAGATCACATCTATATTATGGTAAGACAGGACAATATAGGGTGAACTCTCTAATGTATTTTAATTAACACTGTGTTAAACATTGCTGCATGCTCTGTTTGGATAAGTGTTACAGTGAGCTCATGGACACTCTGTGTCCCCTTCCCCGGGACCCTGTGACTCTGATCAAGATAACCCTGGACCCCTCCTTCCTGCCCCAAGGGGTTGGTGGAGAGCCAGGGAACCCCACCCTGTCCAAAGTCTGTACAGACCCCTGACATTTCCTGTTCGTTCTCTTTTGCCCCACTCTCCCCTTGGACACCACAGAATAAAGAGAGCTGAACCAACGTATTTTGGGGTAAGAGCCTCTTTTGGAAATCTCTGCCATCTCCTGATATTCCTCCCCTCACAGCCTCAGACCTCTGGGCCAGCCTGATATCCAGGGGGCTGTGTGAGGGGGGGAACGTCAGATAAGGACAACTGTGTTTGCAGTAGCAGAACCATAAGCAACTCACAATGCCTCTGACAGGACAACTCCTGAGCACAGTGGACATTGAGTAACTTTACACAGTGTTTTTCAGAGATATGTGCTTTTCTGCTGACTTGACTTGTTCATTTAAATAAGGTCTTGAAGCTTGTATTTGCCTTTATTTCAGTACAGTGCAACACAAGAGCTCAGTGACAGAACAGCACCTCAAAGACTTCTGCAAGGGGAGGCCCCTTTTCTCTGAAAACCATTAATTCTGGGATCCACAATGTCCACCAACAGAAGCTCTTCTTGTAGGAGCTCTGACATTTACATCAGATTTTAAACTTTAGTTTGATTGCTGATGCCAATTTTAAAAACTTCTTAACAAAACCTTACTAGAAGTAGGGTTTGGATTCCAATTTTGTGTAGTGTTTTCAATGTGCAAACTTTATAAAGGAAAACAAAAACAACTCTAGAAAAAAAAAAAAAAGAAAAGAAAAAGAAAGAAAACCCTGGGGCATATAATCTTGAGAATTTCTTGGTTTTGCTTGCTACAGTACTTCTCTGCTTTTCCTGTGCTTTCCACAGTAGTATGAATATTGAAGCTGGCAGGAGTGAGCTCTGTTTAGAGAGAGAAGAGACAGCAGAAACAGTTGTTCTGCAGCAGTGGCTGTTTGCTTTGGTCTCTCCTTTGCACGTGGGTAATCCTGAATTCCAGCTTGGTGCCTGGGAGATTTGTGGCTCTGCCTCCGTTGGAGGATGAGATGTTTGTTCCTTCTACACTTAAGCTAGGAGTGTTTACTAAAGCAATCAGTATTTCTGTGGAGGTGACAGGAGCCTCGTTAAATGGGTGGATGCAGAGATCAGAGGAACAGGTGTAAATATATTTGGTAACTTTAACTTAAGCAAACTTGCATTCCACTGACTCCACAGCTAAGTACATTGACTTTTTTTCTTCCTGAAGTCATGTGGGTCATACGGCCATCTACTGACTCTCTCTGAAAACAGGAATCACCAGCAGCAGTGCAGAAAAGAGTCAGGAATAAACATGCAATAATATGTGTTGTGTTTCAAATACAAGTAATCTGCCATCAGTGTGAGTGTCCCTGCTAATGCTGTCATTTGTATGCCCATGACCATACATATGGCCTTTAAAGTGCTTTCTGTATGCTATTAGGTCCTGGCAGGTCCTATTCTGTTCAGCTGTTTTGGTGTCCTCAGAGTTTGCTAACTTTAGAAGGGTCTCAGTTCCTAAATTCACCTTCACTCTGAGTTTATTTTAAGGGAAGAGCCAACTCAGATATGGTTTTAGTTTGGAAAAAAAATATGCTGTATTTTTTTCTTAAGTAAGAAAAATATCTGTTAAAGTACTGGTCAGCTTGGCAGCAAGAAGAATCCTTGAAGGGCTGAGACTGTGGAATAAAGAGCCTGGAAGAATTAACCAATTCCTATCACTGCAGAGGTTTTCTGTTCCCAAAGTACTTGGAAGAGATGGAAAGGTATTTATCATTGACATATACAGAATTAAAAAACCAAAAACAGTTTGTCAAACCCTGGAGCAGCCTATCTCCAACAGATGCAACTCAATGACTTTGTCATGCTTTGTCCCTTCAAAAAGCTATTTCTGCATGCTGTAGGAGTGCCTCAGGAAGGGAAGGAACAGAGCTATTGTAAATACAAATGCCTAAATGTGAATATGAATTAAGGTAGGATAGAATAAGTTGGTGTTTTAAAATGAATAATGTACAAGCACACTCAGTTCTCGGCCACTTGCTGTTTGCTTTCCACACAGGAAAACAAAAACCGACATCCCAAAGCCAAACCAAAACCCAAACAGAAACCTGGCCCTGCTCGGTGGGGAAACAGTAGTTGCACGTGTTAAAAAAATAAATAATGAAGGTTTCCACAGCAACCCAAGTTCTGTAAAGCAAGCTGATGACTTCCATTCTGTTTTATTATATAATCAGAGAACAGATATTCTATTAAAAGTGTTGAGTACATCTGAAGTTATATTGTTAAAAAGTTTAGTGCAATCCTAAAACTTCAAATCAAGCAAGTTGTTTACAAAGGTTTCTGAAAAGGCTGTATAAAAAGGGTTTTGGCAGAGGCTCTGACCAGGGCAAGGGCACTGGTCCATCAGAATATTGCAGGGAGTAAAATTTCAGTTGCAGGAAAACTTTTGTATAACTTATTTCAGCTTTTCCTTTGCTGTGAAGAATTCAAATTCAGTTTTTATGGAAGGAATGGAAGCTGAACTTCGGAGATGAAATCTAAAGGCTGTGTCCCGTTTTGGGTACGTGCTCATTGCGGAAACCGTACGAATTTCACCAGCTCTTTAGAAGCTCTGGAGATTAATAATACCGACAAGAAAACGGAACACAATATCAGCCCAATTTCGATCTAAACGCTGGCAGTGCCTGGGACTAGCGGTGCGGGGGGCAGCTGAGCGCTGCCAGGGGCTCGGGCAATGGCGGGCAGCGGCCGGGCCGTGTCGCGGGCAGCCCGCGGCGCCGGGCGGGGGTCGGGCCGGCCCCGCTGCCGACCAGCCGGCCGGGCGCGGTGCTGCACTGCGGGCCGGGCTCCCGGCAGGTGCGGCGGGGATGGGGTGGAGCGGCGATGGGCTGGGGCTGGGGAGCGGGGCTGGGACAGGGATGGGCGCGGGAGGATGTCCCGGGCCCGGCCGCTCCCCGTCCCGCCCTCAGAGGCCGCGCGCCGCCCCGCGCCTCGCGCCCGCGCGCGCCTCGTGCGGCCGCGCGGGGAGGGAGGGGGGGCGGCGCGAGCCGCGCGTGCGCGCCAGGTCCGCCGGGAGCGCGAGGGGGGGCGCGGCAGCCCCGAGTCCTTCAGGCGGCGGCGGCGGGAGCGGGGGTTCGGGAGGAGGAGAACGGGAACGACGAGGAGGGGGCCCGGGGCCGCCGAGCTCCGCGGGGCCGCCGAGCTCCGCGGGGCCGCCGAGCTCCGCGGGGCCGCCGCGTCGGCAGGGCCGGAACCCGCGGGGGCCGCGCGAGGAGAGGCGCCGGGCCGGCGGCGAGCGGCCGCGGAGGGGAGCGGCGCGGCGGCCGGTACCGCCCGGGCGGGCGGGGGGCGATCTCCCCCCGCCCCCCGGCAGCGGCGAAGCGACCCCTGAGCACAGCCGCGGCCGGAGCGTGGGGCGGGGGCTGCCGGCGCGGCGCCCCCGCTGAGCGCGGGGAGAGGAGAAGCCGCCCCCGCTCGATGAGCGGCGCCCGCCCGCCCGCCGCGCTCTGCCCGGGGACCGGCGGCCGCGGCCGAGCCACCCAGCAGCATGTGGAGTCCCACCGAGGAGGAGAAATACGGCGTGGGTAGGTGCTGCCGCATCCCTCCCCCGCCCCGCGCACCCCCTCCTCTCTCTCCCCGCCGGCCCCCGGGGGCTGTGCTGGGCTGTGGGGCCGGCTGTTCCCCTCCCCGGGGCTGCCCCTCGGGGGGAGCCGGGATGGGGCAGCGCTGCCCGCGGGGCTGCGGGCGCCGCCTGCCCTGCCCTGCCCTGCCCGCACCGCTGGATGCGCTCTGCGTGTGCCTCGGTTCGCGTTATCTCCCCGAGCGCCGCCGCGGCCAAGCGAGAGACAAGCGGAGTTCGGGGGCCCGCGCTGGGGTCGGGATCGCAGGAATAATCAGAAAACGAGTTGCTGAGCCCTTAATCTACTTAAGCGCGCGGTTCCCTTTTCCCTGCGTTTCCATCTGCGGAGCGAGGCGATGCGTGGATGGAGTTGGGAAGGGGCCGGCGGCGCCGCGGTGTCTTTAGGGGGCGTCGGTGCTGCACCTGCCCGGCCGCGGGGCTGCGGCGGGGCCGCGGAGCGTGCGGGCTGCGCTGCTTGCTCCTCGCCTCGGCAAAGCAGATTTTACAGGCGTCTGGCATCGTGGTTGCTCTAATCTGAGGCATCGCCGTTGGCGGCTTTGGTTTGTTGTTTTAGCGTATAAATCCCTGATAAGAGCGGAAATGTTACATCTAATGAAGTGGAAGATACAGAATTCCTTTTACTTTGCTTTTGCTCATTTCGATTTAATTTTTTTTTAACTGTTGACTTGTTTTATAATAATAAAGGCTACTACTGCTACCCTGATTAGTTACTTAAACGCCTCATTAAATTTATAGTTATCAGTTGTGCGTATTGATTTTTAAGTTCCACCGTGTGTAGTGATGATTGATTTCTACAAAATATTTAAAATAGTATCAACAAATTTGCTACATGATCTGTTAACCAGAACTGTTAAAGTGGGATTTTGGCAATTAACTCGTGAGAATTAGAAGCCTTAATGCTTCTTTGTTAAAATGCTTTTTGTTACTTTAATAATAAAAAACCCGTCTTGTTAATTGTTCATCTTGTACAGCAAATATTTTGCTTAGTACATCCCACTTGTCTTCATAGTAAAGAGAGATGAAGAAAATCACTTTTGTTTAAAAATAAAATCAAATGCAGCATCAGAAGAGAACCTGTAAGTGTAGGGTAATATAAACAAGTGGCAGAAAAGAACACCTGGAAGTCATTGCTTCCAATCCTGTTGTTGTGTCTGGTCACTGGGAGTATCTGAAGTTAACAAGCCCTGTTACATCCCAGCTGGATGCTTCAGGAATACGAAGCTGTTATTTTGCTGAGGTTTTTTTAATGTAGTTGATGCTTTTACTTTTTTCATACCTCATCTGCTGGGCAGAGGCCACTTCTGTTACCCTAGGATGAAACTGACTGCTATAGTTGTAATGGATGCTTCAGAAAATCATTACCTGTCTTCCAAATCTTTGTTGTTTTCCGTACGTTTCTGTTGTTTTTCTTTGCCGTGTTGCAGGGTTTGATATTCAGTGTTTGTTCTTGTGTTTGGCCCATGTGCTCAAATAAGAAAATCCTTGTTTTACCTTGATCCAAAAAAACAGGTGAACTAATTTTTTAATGCAGATATTTGAAAAGAAAAGCTGGGAAATCTCCAGTCGGGTTGTAAACAAGTCTGGAAGAGGCATGTGGAAGGGAGAGCAGTGAATGAAAACAAGTGTGATTTCAATGATGTTCCCTGGGCTGGAGAATATTCCTCTAAGGATGGGGATTTTTATTTTGCAAACAACACACCTGTAGGTAGGGCTGAGTTGTGCAAGTTTTGGTGATCTCTAGGCAAGCTTTTTTTATTCTTGAGTAGCTTTAATTACTTTTCCTGTAATTGAAATTTGTTGATAATCCTCCAGAGAAGGAAAATAGGTGAAAAATGCTGCTTATATCTGGAGTTTAGTTACTACAAGTGAAGAGTGGCATATCAGTTTTTCAAAAGTAGATCTGTCATTGCTGGCTGGAAGGGTTGTTTTTGTGTATTTTGAAGCAAATAGTCTGCAGAAAGTGTGGACCTGAGGGTTTGCTGCTGGGAGGTGCACTAGCAAAAAAAAAAAAAGGGGGGGGGCAAAGAAATAGCAGTGTAAATTATCCTGATTCCACAAGTAATATGTACAAAAATAATCTTGGCATGACTCACTGTTCTGAGCTTATGCCTTTGGGCTTTAGTAGTTTGGGTTTGGTTAGAGCCTCTGTCCAAAAAAACACTGCATGTTTTATCTGTGCTCCTGCTAAACCATGCAAAGTTTTAAGATTTGCCTTTGGGTTAAGGCAATAAACTTTCTGTCCCTGTTGATGTGAGCTGAGTTGGAGAAAAATCAGTTATTTCTGCAACTGGAATACCACCAAGAGGTTTCTGGTGGAACAGAAAGGAACGTCAGGGCATCCAGGCCCTAGGCATAGCTGTTCTTGTGGACCAAGGAAAGGGAAAGTGCCATTTCAAATGGTTAATCCTGATGCCGTTGTCTTTGTTGAAAGTAAGTTGTGCTCTGTTGCCCTACCTGGGTAGCTGGCTCAGAGGTGATAATTTACAGAATTGATCCTTCAGAAAGACACCACTTTCCCCTCCCACACCTGGCTGCTCAAGGGCTTTGTGTTCTGCACTGGCTTCCAGGGAGTATCAAAGGCATTTCTGCTCTGCTTGCTGGAGCCCCTCAGCTTGCAGATATTCATGTGCTGCCACAGGCTCTTGGCTGCAGGAGAATATGTTAAATTTCCTGATGGGAACGTTGGTGCCTTTTGGCCAGTTCTGGAGTTCTCTGTGCCTACCTGCAATCAAGAGAAGTTTTCCACACTTGCATTGTAGAACACCATTGTATTGCCCAGTTCTCATACAAATCACTGCATGCATCTGCAGCAAAGATATTAAAAGATTGCTCAGGATATTTCTAAATAAATTAAACACTCTCCTAACAACCTTGAAGATCTTTGATTTTATTTCTCAGCTGCTATAGCAACTACCTGGTAGCTGTTGTGAGTAATTCCCCTCTATTTAGAAATACTTATATTCAGTGCCTCTAATCCTAACTCTACTTTTAAAACTTGAGACTAGCTGAAGCAAAGCAGACAGTTCTTCCACAGGTGCTTAAGATGGCCAATTATGAACACAATTAATAAGAATTCTGAACTGATTATTGAAGAAAATGCTCTCTAGCCCTCTAGTGTTATAGTAGTTTTAAAGCAGTCTGTCTCTAAGAAAATATTTATTAAAGTGATCTGTTTAGTTACTTTAGTCTTGAAAAATAAGTATTAAAGATTCATATATTAAAAGAAAAAGTTAAATAGAAATCTTTACACAATAGCCAAATGTTGTTTACTAAAGAGCTGATTATGTCAGTAGGCTGTCAGTTTTTACTCTTTTATTTTTGTGCAAGGAGCACATTTAAGTGGCTCTCAGGAAAGCTTTTTTGGTTTTTTTTTTTTTTGTTTGTTTGTTTGTTTTTTTTTTAAATGTAATGCTGTATCAACAAGCCAGTTTGTATGGCTGAACATATAAAATATATATGTATTAAGTCACAGAGGAGAAGGAGAACCTGCCTGCATCAACAGAATCTGTTCTTAGTTTATTCAAAGATTTAGGGTTAAAATCTGTTGAAATGCTTTTTAATTTTTTTTCCACTGCTTACTTTGTAACAATGAAAAATAAATCCATAAGCATAAGTACATACAACTAAACTTTCCCTTGTTCTTACTAAGAAGGGATGGAACATCACAATGTCCTAGTTACGGTTTTGTACTGCAGCTTTTTGATCAGTATCTTGATTTTATTTTTTTCCCCCCTTGTCACTAAACCTTGGCTTGCACACTTCCAGTTCATATTTATGCTCATCAAAACAGGACTGCAGAACTTAGGAAAGCCTTCCTTGCTCAGGGCTTTTGGCACAAGACCCTGCCTTAGCTGTTCACACAAGAGGCAGCTGCTGAAGGGGGTTATGAGTGGCACTGTGGTTTCACTCGCTCACTTGAGTGGTTTGTTACAGGTTTAAAAACGAAAAGTTACAGAGAGGTAAAGTCCCTCTCCCAAATTAGGAAAATGCTCATTGTTTTTATATGGGAAGCAATCTCAATCCTTGCATCAGGTGCTGTGCTAGGGACCTAGGTTATATTTCATTTTCTCTCCTGTGTCCCTGTGCCAGGGGATGTAATTGTCTGGCAGCAGGAGGGAGGTGACTAAGGATATTCTTCAGGGCTGTCTTGGAACCAAAGCTACGTGCAGGGATGCACTTTGAAACCTTCTGTGCTCCACTGCTTTGGGAGGTGGTACAGGTACCTGGGGACTTGCTCAGGAAAATGGGATGATCCAGGGATTGGAGTAATTTTCTGTTCAGTACTTTACTCCTAAGGGCCTTTTTTTTTTACCTGTAGGCCTTAAGAATGAGCAAAGGAATTTGTCAGTCAGGGATCATAAAGGAAATGTATATGTGTTATTTAACTGGATGGGAAATGAATCACACCTTGAAATGTCTCTGGAAAAGAGCAGCTCCCAAGATGCATCTGATGGGATACTATCATACAGAGAGGAGAGGTTACCAAAGTGTTATTAAATGTGGTGGGCAAGGTGAGCTCCAGAGTAGGGTAAATCTGGAATTCTGTGGGTGCTGATAGAACTTGGAGATTAAATGTCCTGTTTTGTGGCAAGAAATTAATATATTTTGGCTTGTCTATCCCAGAAGAGACTAAGCCAAAGACATTGTGGTTAGACCAGCTCTCATGAAGAGCTGATTTGCAGAATTGGATAAGAATTAACCTGTCTACTTTGAGATTATCCAAATACTAGTTGTCCACAAATGCATTTGCAGTAGAAATTAGCCAAAGCTTTCTAAATACAGGAGGAATGAAGTTGAGAGGCAAATTACTCGCAAAGGCAAGAAGTGAGATGTGTATGTTTGACAGTTCATTGCATGGCTTGTATGGGAGTGTGGGGGTGATCCTGGAGTAAGAAGTGATAGCAGTGCACTGTGGGGTTTAAATTTAGATGATTTGATGTTTTT